AACATAAGACAATAATTACATCATTAAGCATAATTTTCGATCGCTATGTATTCAAAATAGAGTTTCACTGTTTTTGTGTTAGACTTTCATGACAAGTTTATAATTACTTTAATAAGGAATTATACCTTTCTTAGGAACTAACCCTCTCGTGTATCTGAAATCGATCTTCTGCAAAATGTAGTAGTATTTTATAGTGCAAATTTTTCAAGGCATTAAAGATGCTATCATTATCAGTGAGTTTATTATTAGTATTTATTTTGTGAATTACGAAACCCTTTCTAAGACTCAGCTAGCCCGGCATGGCCAGGTGGCTAAGGCACTCGATTCCCAATCTGAGGGTCGCGGGTTCGAATCCCTCTCCCACCAAAACATGCTCGCCCTTTCAGCCGTGGGGGCGTTATAATGTTACGGTCAATCCCACTATTCGTTGGTAAAAGAGTAGCCCAAGAGCGGTGGGTGGTGATGACTAGCTGCCTTCCCTCTAGTCTTACACTGCTAAATTAGGGACGGCTAGCGCAGATAGCCCTCGTGTAGCTTTGCGCGAAATTCAAAAACAAACATACTCAGCTAAGGTTGCATATGTGGTCCCATCTACTGGGGATGTTTTAAATTAACGTTAATAATAATCACATCAGTTTTTGATAGAACTAGGCTTAATAAATGTAAATGAACCGTGACAAATACATTAAAACAAAGAGGAGTAACAAAGGTAGTAGACACTGTCGGGTAAGTGCATAAACAGGTAATAACGTCAACTTGCCACTTCTTCGAACTTAAAAACAATGTGAAATAACAAATATTCTATCCTTTCCGATGTAGTTGATGCAAAATATAATCGTTTTCAGCTGTGTTTGCAAGCTTGATATTTACTCAGGAGTTCTATATACAGAGTTTAAATAGTTAGATATCTCTGATCCAGCATCCTTTCGGCCGAATTATCGAACATGAAATTCGTGTCTGTCATGGATTTGAACGCTTCACATACACAGTAGCACTTCAGTCTTTGTTGTTTAGTTATGATATTAATACCACTTGTATGGATTGTATTATCCAAACAACAACGTCAAAAAATCTATTTCGAAATTTTCCTGTGTTTTTTATTTTCAGCTACTTCATATTTCATTGCTGGTACGATATAAGTATGTAAGTATTACGTTAAACATTGTATTGTTGTTAAAGATGTAAATTTTACAACTTACAGCATCAATGTTCATTGTTAAGCCCCACTCTCTCATTTCGTACAATTTTTATTTGGAATAAATTAAACTTGTAATCCCCCTTGTGATATTTCTGGCTCAGATGAATAACAGGTGGTTCGAAGATTTGGGTGTTAATGTGCACAAGAACACAAGTATTGTTCATTTCATGTTGTATAATCACGTCTTAGGATTCAAAAGATGAAATTAAGATAGAATAAAACAAACTTTAAATTGAAATACAAAAACGCACTGTTGGCATATACACGAAACACAGCACTAAACAGCGCGTCTTGGCCATTTCAAAACAAAAACCAATTCCCTTGAAAGCACCAAAACTGTTTACACAATCCACATGCTCCCTAAAGATGTGTTGCCTAACGTTAAAAGGTCACGTGGTCTATAGTTTTCTCTGCCATGGTGAATATCAAGTGCTTTCATCCTTCTCAGGTGAAAAAAGGACACTTTTTTTTTCTTTAGTGACGATGTAAATCATCTCGACGATTTGCATAGCCGTAGTGTTTTTCGTTTCCGTATATATATATATTTAACAAAAGGCAGTGTTACTCTACTGCCAGAACTAAAACATTACTGAATTTTGTATTGATATAGAACGGAATGTTTGACGCCCAATATGGTGGTGTTCAATAAAACGGGAACTTTATTTCAGTGTCACGTCTATAGCTACTAATCACAAATAAGATTTGGTAAGCATCTCTTCTTCATGTGACAGCAGTAAAACAAGTACTGCAAATACAAGGTAAATAAAATCCATATAGAACTATTCTATAGAGAAGAGGATAAATTCTTTAACCGATACGGCTATAGACAGTAATAACTCAGTGCGAATTTAAAAATCTCAACCGAATTGCACATGTTCCAAATTAGAAAAGTTTTGTACGTACGAAATGTGTAGTATTTGCACATTGAAACCCCTCTCCCTCATCTTTAAAGTTCTTCTTGCCACGTCCTCTAGCGAGAATATTAGACATAATTGTAGTTTACGACTACGTCACATTCGTTAAGCCGTGGTCACGTAGTCTTTTGTTTGTTTGTTGTTTTTTTAAATTTTGCGCAAAGCTACAAGAGTGCTATCTGCGCTAGCCGTCCATGATTTACTGGTGTAAGACTAAAGGGAAGGCAGCTAGTTATCACCATCCACCGCCAACTGTTGGGCTACTCTTTTACCAACGAATAGTGGGATTGACCGTCACATTATAACGTCACCACGGCTGAAAGGGCGAGAATGTTTGGTGTGTGATCACGTATACTATATTTGTTATTCATAATTAAATATGCATATTATTTTATGCGTTTTACTAACCGTATAGTGGTCGAACTTATATACTAAGAAATACAACCAGAACATTTAAATTCATATATCACTTTAGATGTTTTAAACTATGAAAATCTATCTATATACGTTAACAAAGTTTGTATTCTATATTCAGGTTAAAAAAGAAACTATTAAAGCCACAGGCGCATGGCTAAAGAAGGCAGTGTTCATTTGAGGTATTATGGGAAATGTTTCGTATTGGTGATTCCTTTGAGTATTAAGCGTTTTCGGTTTTTACTGTCCGTTACGTTGGCAAGTGTCATATACTAGACAATGGGCGTTGTTCAACAAGATTTTAACTGTTTAATCATGGAATTTAAATCAATTTGTGGTTACATTCTACGAAAAAGCTTATGTAATTTACTTCTACAATTGGTATATGTCTGCCTGAACATGGTAATATTATATTAACCATTTTATGGAGCACTGAATTTGTTGAAATTATCCAAATAATTATCTATAACTATAATCCCATCTACTTTACTCTTCAATTCCGTATGGGAATATTTATACTTGCTAGCTACTTTATAAGCCTGACGAAGTAGAATTTTAACTAGATTTATTATTAACAAATCTAAAATCCAACTGCAGAAATTAAAATGACCCTAGAAAATATTTTGTCCAATTTTGAATAATAATTTATTATTTTGTGTCAATAAAGTTAGATGTTTGTAGTTGTACAAATTTGTTTTTTAATGTTTCACTTAATTTATTTTTCTAAAATTTAAAGTTTAGCATTTATTTTTCAATGATATAATATTGTCTACTGTGACAAGTGATTTATTGCTAATATAAAACCAATCTAATAAAACATCATTGTTCTTATAATAATTCAAAACTGTTAAATTTTTTAGAACACTTTAACTGCAATCTTTCAGTTTTTGAAATATAGTATAAATAAATCTGATGATACAGTAGAGAACATATCAAATTTGAGTTAAAATAACTTCAGTATTGAAATTTTGATAGTTATATGTTCCTTAATGATCTCAAAAACCATTAACCACCAACTTTTCTGTATTTAATTTTTAGTTTTATAATTTTGACATGTAATTTAGTGCACACCAAACAGTCCATCCCCATTTTGTAATGGATGTACCACGACCGGAAATTAAACATTTTTTTATTTTAATTGAATAACTATTAATACTCTATGCTCATTTGTTCTGTGCCCTTCCCTTTAATGATCAACAAGAGAAAACCTTTCTTTAAGGGTTATATGCTCATGCCCACTATCAAACATGTAAACCTAAAAGGAGAGGGTGCATGTTCCATCTTTAATTTCCCTTTGGAATGCATACACTTGTTCACAACCCATAAATTAGTTGCACAACATTCTGAAAATTCTAGGCAGTTTTCAATATAAGGAATTGTCAAACGTCTATTAAATGTTTAAATCACAGAAAAATAGATCAGTTATCTGGATATACTTGTGTGATTTATAGATTTTCTTCCTCAATGTCCAACACGTTTCAGTGAACTTGGAATGATTTCATTATTAAGAATAAAAGGAAAAATACAAGTTTAATTTTTTTCAAGAAAGGATGAAATAATTTCATTGCTATTTTCTATTGTAGTTGTAAGGATAGAATCCTCATGCTGACAACAATAAAACCATTGTCTAATGTTGTTGAAATATATTTATTAAGATTATTTCCTCCTTATGAAAAACTTGGATCAGAAAATTTTATAAACACATTTAACTACCAAAATATAAAAAAGTCTCCACCTTGTGGCAAGAATTACTCCAACAACTTTACTTTTTTGAGCAAAAATAATACAACAAAAATACCCCAAATACATCACCTATCAAAAAGTTTAAAATTAAGGCAAGTTTACATCAACTTTTATTAAAAATTACAAATAACTATTAATACAGAATATAGTATATAGTATTAATACTGTCTCTAAAATCATGTAGAACTACTGCTCCATTGACAGGGGCAAAGAAGAAACACTAGATAATTGTAAATACTGAAGAAAAGTAGTACTTTTTATTTTATTTTAATAGCACTAGATACCCGATACAAACAAAAATAGAATTAAGGAATTAAAAGTTGTGAATCAATCAATGAAATGTTAATTATAAAAACAGAATAGACAAGACAAACACTAAATTCACTGAACATTTTTTTAAAATGGATTATGATATACTACCAAGGCTCAATTTATTACTTTCGTACTATTTGAGTGTTTTCACATGATGCAACTAAGTTTTTAAGAAACTTTCCTACGTGGTTTATTTCCCACTTATTATTTTATAATACAACAATCAGTATTTCTTTGATAGAAATGCAAATGTTTCAGATTAAGTTCTCCTACTTTTTAAAATTTCTGTTTCATTAAATTCTTAGCACAACATTAATGATCATAATTCCATGATCCTTACATCTTTGTTCTCATACATAGTTCATTATTTTCTAATAACAAAATGAAAGTTGAATAACTTTTTACATGCAATAAGAAAATGGTGAAATATTTCAGCTCAACAATTATGTAGAATATTTTCAGAATTCTCAAACAATATATTTATATATATATATATTTATAAAAAGCTATTGTTCATATATTTTCAGTGTATTGGTCTCACAGTGAATAAAAATATATCAACTATTAAAAAAAATAATACATGTGTGTGTGTGTGTGTGTGTGTGTGTGTGTGTGTGTGTGTGTGTGTGTGTTTGTTGTATACACCTTTTACTCCACCACCAAAAAACATCTTCTGTAAAACAATAAAAAAAAAAGCTTGACAATCTGAAACATTTAAAAATCATTCCATATTTTCTTTGATATACACAAATTCAGGAAACTTACCAACTCACTCAATCACTGTAATCCCCAAATTCAAAACATTCTGCTCAATTAGTTTAATAAACATGTTATGAAATACTTTAGTGTGGCAGAGAAGTAACCACAAGATTTTCTAAACTAATAAATGCATCGCAAGCTTAAACTACACCAGGAAACACTCTGCAAGAAGAAGAATTTCTATCAAACTACAAGTCTGATATTAATTTTGCTTTTTATCCGCATTGGGTTATTAAGCTAAGTTATTTTGCAAAACTTTTATAAAAGAACTAATTCTCTAAATTACAAATATGTTAATTAATAATTCTTCTATTAATCCCCAAAGTGGTCCCGTATTGTAGCTAGTACTAGCTACCAATAAGTCAGATTTTATCTACTAACTACACAAAAGCTAAAAGCAGAATATTTGAAATCAGTTATGGCTGCTAAGCAATGAAATTCCAATACTAAGTCCTGATAACAACTATTCATGAAACAAAGTGTACTAATATTACTGTTTCTCCAAACTACAAATAAAATACAAGTGCCCATCTTCAAGGTTAAGATTTTCAATTATTTGATGAAGTTGCTGTAATTACCTATTAAGATAGTATCTTCAGATTTTAAAGTATTACAGATGAGTACATGTGTATGTATAACTTAGTAAATCACATAAAATTTCAGTATATTATTCTACACTAAATGTTCTTGTCAACTACTTTCTCACAACTTTCGCTAACTGCTCATGAAAGTTTATGCTTTAGCCCTATTGATGGGTATATTTGACATTTTAAAACAGAAGCACAATATGCTTTCATAAATTGGTTATGCATATTTATAAAAAAAACTTTAAACACTTTGATCTTAAGTAGTATGCAATGTCTGGTGAATGGAATATCTAGTTTAAAATATTTCAATATTGTAAACACTGTTAAAATAACTGTTTTGATAGAGGTAATTCAGCCTGTACAGATTCAACAAAACAAAACTGAGCAAAGCCTCATCTGATAGACTACTTATATTTAAAGTGCTTGCATGGTGTATTTGGTCATGCCAATAATAATGTTTTCATGACCCTCACACCAAAACACCTTACTCCATTGAATAATGCATCTTTACAAAGTTGAAAGATGGGATCTGTATATCAACCAATTAGAGTTTACTATATAAACATTTGTTAATATCAACATACTATGGCACTTGTAATAGTAGTACTTTATGAATCAAAGACAAAAAAAACACATTACATAATCTTAATAATTCTCTGTTTAACTGTGTTTTCTACCACACTAATTTATTATATGAAATCTAGTGACAATAAAGGTCACTTTGTCAAATGCTCTGCTTATTTTCCTTCGCTGGTTTGAGCAGCTGCTAAGCCTAAAAATGTGCCCAAAATACTGGCAGTGTACCAAGTTGAAAGGAATGCTGTTCAGTATCTACAATAACTGTGAATAAGCATCAAAACCTGCTTTTTTGTACTCTGCAGCAGTTGCCTGGGGATCGTTGGCATCCGTGATGCCTCGGCCAACAATAATGACATCAGCACCTCGATTCTGAATGGCTTCTTGAGGAGTGACATACTGTTGTCCCAGAGAATCACTTGATTCTTCAAGCTTAATTCCTGTTTCATATAAAAATACTAGGTCTTTTAAACTTTGAAGGCACTATTTTAAGCAGTTCACACTTATTTTTTGTAAAATCTACTTACCTTGCAGTTATAAAACTATGATAAACTACAAGTAAAGAACAAACAGCCACTTCATTGAAATACATTCCTCCTGATAACAAATAGGCTGTTTATTATCAATTCTATGATGATTAAAAACAATGAAAACTATGTCGTCCAAAGTGATGTTGTGTTTAATTCTTGAAAAAGTGTAGTCTTTTTCTTGTAAACTTTAAATATAACATATACCAAGTTCTTAAAATTTACCTTTAGGATAAATTACCTTGTAAATGTGCATTAGTGAGTGAAGAGTTTTGTCCCTTTTATGTTTATTTTATCAATATCTGTCAACTACTTGCACACACACACTACTAAACTGCACTTAATTACCTGAAATATGAAAATCAATGTGGTTACAACAAACATTTTGCATCTGCTATTTCTGTAAAAATCCTAATGAGAAGCACACCATATAAACCACCATTTGGTTGTTGTTGTTTTTTTGTCTTACCTGGAGTAAAGTTTATAAATGTTGGGTCTGGTATCAATCTTGACTGACCAATGAAACCAATCACAAAGTCACGGTGGTGATCAGCAAAGTGTGCAGTAGCTACACAAAAAACATGAGACAAAGTGAGGCAAATTTCAAGAAAAATGCAACAGGTAAATAGTCTCAGATAAGATTAATTCTATAATGTCATCTGCTTAAATAATCATACATTATCACTTTACTTTTGTTTATATAAAAAATACAAAGTTATATATTTAAGCTGTTCTGAAACAGCATGCTACACATTTGCTGATAAAAAAACTGTTAACAACAGCTACAAGTGTGGCTACTAGGCATGGTCATACGATCCCACTTTTTTGATGTACTAAATAAATAATGCAATCATTGTGGTGGCTAGCCCACAAAAAAGAAATTCCCTTTATGTTTAGTGAGCAAGTTTCTGCTCAGACCAAACATTTAGTAACCTTAAGCTTATTGAAATCATGATTACTTTCAAATAGATTAACTGCTTTTGAAGTGGAATATATATTCATTGTTTCAGAATTTACCATATGATTAGTAAGTGTAGGACATAAAAAAACACGTTTTATTTTCACAAGTTTGAGTAGTTTGTAAAAATGTTGAGTAAGAAAGATATAAATGTTTAAATTTTATTTTAATGAGTCTGAGTAATCTTATAGTTTCAAAATAACCCATCTAAAAGTCCAGTACATAATAATCATTGAACTACTCTCAGTTAAACCAATTTCAATTAATAGAAAGTAGCCATTTCACAGTTATTTCTGCTAATGTATCTTTGATAATGAAAAGTTGACTTTACCATAAAACTTATCTTCCATAACAGAATTAATACGTTTTATACATGTAGCCTATACTAATCAAAGTATACAAAAAGAAAGCATTAATATTTATAGTTTCTCATGCATAACTCTTTAATTTCAAAGTCATTGTTATACAGCCCAGCAGGCACTTAAAAAGCTATTACAGAGCTGATATATAAATCATCAATTTGCTTCAAGACATAAAATATTTGACGGTTTATTACACAGTTTACAACAGTTCCAATAATGCAAATTTCCTTGCATCATAGTTACAGACTAATTCTACCACTTTTCAAATATTAAAACAGGCATAATCTTGCAAAACAATCAACTTATTTGGTTACTGAATCATCAAATCAGACTTTTTGTTTCTAATCACTACAGGTGGGATCCACATATTGAATGATACTGAGAAATTTTATCTGTTACAGCACACAGTGTCAAGAACTGAGGAAAACAACACTGAAGAAATAACACTCACTTTCTATGTAAAATATTCAGGGGATCCTTGTAGTAATTAGGTGGAATTCATTACAATATTGATGGTAGTTTTGTTTACATTTTTGGAATGAATCTTATGTTATCAGAAATCATGGATCCACATGCAATTAGGTATATGAATAATTTACAAACATGTTTTCCAAAATGCCATCCAGGTTCATATTTTTTTTAGAAAGTTGCTTCTGAATTAAATATTATGTCGTTTGCGGTACATACGAACCTCTTCTAAACTTTGAGGTGAAAAACAGCATCTATATCATTATAGCAATGCCACTATTATAATTCTCTTCTTATAGACATAGAGTACAACTTTGTAATAAACTTGCATGTTATACTTTAAGCTTTAAGTTAAAGCAAATCAGAATACAACATGTTAAACATACTACATCTACCACATCCTGTGATGACAAGGCCAGACGACATGTAACTGATTACTCAGGAATTTTTCATTTTTGTGTAAGTACGAGAGAAACAAGCAACAGTAAGAATACTGGTTTAGATTACGTAAAGGTAGAAGTAAAAATGATTACTGTAATTATTATGGAAACCATTATAACTTGAAATTGAATAAATCATGAAATCTTAGGTTTGTTTAACCATCTTGAGGATTAGGATAATCAAGTTTGCCAAGTATTGTACAAGAGTTGATATTTTGCCTTAAAGCAGGTTATTCTACAAGAACTTTATAACCACCTGGTACGTAAGGTGGGCAACAGCGATTGAGAGTAAAATCATTTTTCTTTATTTTCCTGGACATCAAAACAAGTTACACCAAGGTATTTGTAAAAAATTGGTGTATAATAAAAAATATTAAATTATGAATAAAAAGCCAACTCTAATGAATTCAGTGTATGTTCTTTAACACCAACTCTTTCAGATTTGAATGATTTACTTCAGATCAGTTTCTCTTTCACTTGACTTTACTTTTATTCCGTTCCTGCTTGTTTGGTTGCCTCTATTTATATGTTTATCAGTTAGGCCTCTAGAATTTTCTATAGCCTCGACACCAATGAAATGCAAACACAATGTACAACTCTTACCTAGTTACATAACCAAATTTGTCATAACTATCACCTTTAAAATAATTGCTTTTAACTCTCTTGTTATGAAAAACTCAACAGTCATTAAATATTAACTCACAAAATAATTTAAATAATAATGCCTACACTACACAGTCTTGTATATCCAACAAGGTGTTTACCTCACTATATATTTGCTGTACAGTTTTGAAGGTGCATTTAATATTTATTAACTACAATTTTACACACTTCATATTGTTTTTGTTCATAACAACATGATCAGCAAGGCCATCTAGTTATGTTTCAGTTGTTATTACTGTTTACATAGCTATAGTTTTTATACCCTAACCTTATCCAATCACTAACATCAGAGATTTTTGTATTTTTTCAATAATTTCTTCACTTCTCACTTTAATGTACATTTTATACCCTAACCTTATCCAATCACTAACATCAGAGATTTTTGTATTTTTTCAATAATTTCTTCACTTCTCACTTTAATGTACATTTTATACCCTAACCTTATCCAATCACTAACATCAGAGATTTTTGTATTTTTTCAATAATTTCTTCACTTCTCGAATGTTGTTTACTCAGTTACCTGACAAACAGTGAAATGAACTACTTAAATATTTGATAGAATTACATTTTGTGATTTATACTCCTCACATGTTACTACTAAATAATGTATGTCAGAATTTATATGATCAATTTCATTTTAACTCTGATACATAGAACATGTAAAAACAAGTTTTGCTTCCAACACAAGACTCCGAAAGAAAATGTTAAGTGTGAGTTTCATGTTTTTATTACACATGTTTACGAGACAAATGTATTGAACTCTTAGCCGATACACTGATATCCTGTTGAAAGATTTTACATCACTTCTTTAGTTATCAAAGTTTATGATGTTGGATATTTTTTAGCATTGATTAAGTACATAACAGTGATTGTAACAAACTGAAATTATTCCTTCTTCCTCCAGGTGATAGTGACTGAAAAATGTCACAAAAAAATAAAGGCCTTTGCCAATGGAACTCTTCACTTGGTGCCAGAGTTCATCATGTGCAACAAAAAGCCTCAGTTGAAATATTAGTCATTTAGACATTATCACTTATAATGGAACATGACACTTTAGGTAGCAAAAAATAATCTACAGGTCAGTAGTTTGTGTAACATTACCTCACAATAAAATATTTAATGTACTATCTGTAATTAATACAAAAACATTAGAAGAAAAGTTGATTGGAAGCCATCTACATTATGTCTTCACATAATGCAATAGCACAGACAACATAAAAAACCCAAAACTAATGCACCTTAATTTGGAAAATATGATACATAATCATTTGAATATAAAGCTAATGCCAACTGCACACAGTATAGTATTTAATTTCCTTTAAATTTCTTAATAATTCTAGAAATTTATAACTATCAGATCTAAGATAATATAAGCCAAAAGCACCTCATTTTAAAGAAAGTAATACCAATAAATTGAACATTACTACAATGTGTACAAATAAAGGAGTAAAAAGTCAATAATTATGACAGAGAAAGATACTATGATAATCTTTTTTTTAAGAAATAAAGAAAAATTAATGAAAATATCAGATATTGAAATAATGGTAGGGAAATATTATTGTGAAAGAATAACTTATGATCGAAATTAGTTTTATTACGAAGGTTTTCTGCTAAATATGAAAAAAGATGACTTTCTTTCCCAGATGGATAAACCATTTCATGAGAAAGGGTAAAAGCATACTCAAAGTGTGGGATGAAAAAAGAAAAAATATCGCAGCTTCTACAAAGGTCCTAAACATCAATCAATTAAGAATATAATGTTATCTTCACTATTGCAACCACAAGCCTTTTACAATTCATACAAGTTGCAAAAAAAAAACAGATTTGTGAATTTCTTAGAGAATTTATTTATAAATTCCCAAAGTTTTGTATCATGTGTAAAATACATTATTTTATAATTTTTCATACAGAAAGTATGTTTAATCTTTTTAATATGTTGTCGAATGTGGTATTGCACGAAAATGGGTTCAATAATAACAGAATGGCCAAGGTGGTTTAACCATACCAATACGGGTCTTCCTATGGTCACGGGTCAAAGGCCATGTCAATGCGTTTGTAGGCTCTCCTTCAAAAGTTTATTGAACTTTTATGAGTGTATATCAATAAGTTTGGTATCAAATTATAGATTATACTTCAAATTTTGGTATTATACAAAAGTTAATTTCTTAATTTAAAAGTAAGTATTAAAAAAAAAATCCTATTTATTTACTTTTGTGTGTCACGTGGTATATTGAAAGCAGCATTGGTTCAAATTAGATGTTTATGATGTCAAAATACAAAGTTTACAGTTTCTTATGAATTAGATTCTCAAATTATCAATATTGACAAGTTAGAATATAAGATAAGAGCCTCCTACCTTTTCTATTTTCTGAGATATTAATATATTTATTGAATCAACCAAGGTGGTCCCACCCAACTCTTCCATTTTTGAAAATACTTGCTTACCTACACCTACTTCGCCCAATAAAGCGTGTATAACCAATCAAAAGCTCAGAGTGTTCCCCAGTGGTTTTCTCAGCCTCTTTGAAGTATTTGACTGGCAAACTCTTTCTTTTCATGCTAAATTCTAGGCGGTAAGGTAGGACATTAGAGAGCTCAAAAAATCATATCTTTTAGACCCAAATACACTTAGTTACTAAGCTTGATAAATTATAGTGGACTTCTGTGGTATTTATATAGTAATTTATGATTTTTTTTAAATTTCAAAATGCATATATAAAACCTAAAAAAAAACTTTTGTTTTACATCCTCCACATGTGAAATTTGATAAGGCTTAGCAACTTATGGCAAGCAGCAAATGAGTACAAAGTTTGTAGCTAGAAGTGATAATTGTTTTCTATACTTCTTTGTTTACTGTTCTATATTTTAAGAGAAGTAACTTAAATTTAAGAACTAATTTGTAAATATTAATAATGCATATACATATATAATGTAACCAAAATATGACTGTATTTTACAAAATACTGGTCCACTAGAACAGCCATGACAGGTCACTTTGTAAAGGCCAGATTTATTTTCCTGGATACGGTAAAATTAGTGCACATGCACTGCGTTATTGCAACTTCTGTAAGGTTAGTGAGGCACTGATGAAAAGTCAATAAAATAAAAAAGATATATAAATGTACAATGTTATGAGATTTAGGTTACTCAGAATAAACATCTGTGTTTTCGTTTTATAATTTGTAGTCATTCTATAACGAAACATAATTTATATCTACTTCCTAATTCTTTTAGGGTGGTTACGAAGTTGGTCAAATCAACCAAACCCGTATGGAGATACAATAGTGAAAATAACGAATACAATATAAATTTTTTTCTAAAAAAAAAGTTTTATAATTATCTGGAGGTTATAAAGATTATGCATGTGAAATTTGAAAATTTTCTGATGCATAAAAGTATTTTTAATCTTAAAATCAAAATTTCTTTGCATGTTCAATAGCCAACATTCAGAAAGAAAAAATGCATGAGAAAAACATTATTTAAAAAATCTTAAAAATCTGATATTTTGTGTACGAAAACCTTGTAATGTTTACTGATAATCTGCAAAATTTCATGAAGATACGCATAGTGTGTTATAGCATGAAAACTATAACAAGCACAAAATGCTTATGAGGTCAGTCCCTGGGACCCAGCCCATAGTGAAAGAGTTAAAGATAAGAACATAACAGTTTATGTTTATGCAATTTAGCTGACAAACAGTTTATTTTTCTTTTCTCTGGGGTGGAAGCTTCTTCTCTGTTAAGGATGACACAGACTTGTGACAAACTGTGGAACATTGTACTTATGTGAATACAAGAGACTATTTCAACTACATTTCCACTTATTGTTGTCTATATTCATTCATCTTACACTTTACCTCTCTAAGTTTCTGAGAAGTGACTCCTCTGTCCTTAGTTTAATTGCAGGGAAACACCCAACACAGACCAATAAACAACATGGAAAGACATCGCAACAGTGTATGTGTATGCATGTAACAACTTTTAAAATTGCAAATTAGATCATTTTTCAAGCTATAAAAATATTGTGTATTTGAGACTTTTGACATGCTTTGGTGGAACAAACATGGATAAAATTAACCATGGCTTTGTCCATAGAGCAAAGTGTACCAATAACTATCAGTGACATATGAGGGAGCTGCCAAAAAGCTGAAGTACGGAAAAATAGTTATGTAAGTAGATGACAAACATATTTAGTAATCACTTTGTGAAAAGCTGGTGCTTCTTCTTAGAAAAGGAAGGAATTTAATCCTCGTATAAATCTGCTAATAACTTTATACAAATAACTTGTTTCACTAAAAATAACCTAACCTTCAGGGTAGTTTGCTGGAACAAGGTTTCCTTTTGTACTCATTTGTGCAATCAAAAGACATCCTCTTCCTTTTTTTATTCCTGCCTTCAAAAACAAAATTTTTAAAAATCACAAACTTCTCAAACATTTAAATGCTTTAGTGAAAATAAATACAATAAGCAATCTTTAATGAAGGATTACCTAATTTTAAGAAACCTCCAGTAGCCCTTAGTGAATTTTTCTATACCAGTTAATATATCCGAGTAATTTACTTTTAACAGTGAGGCCATTTCACTAAGCCTAAAAATCAGGTTATAATACAAACTTGTCATATTATACGTTGAACAGAATTTAATATTTTGTACCAACAAATAATCTTTTAAGTGTGAACCCTATCTTGAAGAATAATGAACATTTCAAAATAAAGTATTTAATAAGAATAACTACTTTCAAGATTTTCATAAGAACATCCTAGTAATCAAACATGTCTGAGTATCAACACAAGATCCTTAAATCACTTCTCCATACATACTTGCTTTAATCCTTCCAAGATGCCAGGACCAGGAAGAGGGTGGCAGTCAATAATATCAGCCCACTCTACTATTGTGTGGATACCTTTAGTGTACTGCATATATACTGTATGACCAATATCAGCAAATTTCCTACAAATAAAGTATACTATTCTAGCAGACTAGCATATGGTGACATACAGCACAGAATCAAACATCTAGTAACCTACCAGTGCCACAGTTTGTCTTTGGTTCCCCTAACAACAGGATACTCAATCCACTTTAAAACCTACAGTTATCTACCATTTAAAATTAAAATAAACACTTTATGTTAAAATACTTCACTAGATAGGAAGTAGAAATAGACAATTTCTAAGTATACTGAGGGCCGTTATAAAATTTAAATGAATACTGGCTTATGCTCTAAAAGTAAACAAACACATGCATGAAGAATAAAGTTTTCTTTTTTCTCAAATCCATTGTTTTTTTTTCTTTGGCTCAACAAAAAAGTATATACATATATTTTTAAATCACACAATTATGCTAAGAAATATAATACCTAGAGTAGCTTATCTATATTATTAATGGAATGCTAATCAATATTACTAACTTGACATGTTTAATACACATACATTATCTTTCTCCACATGAAAAGTAATTTAACTCTCCTAGCATGGGTTAGTCAGAGTGCACATCACAACCATTTTCCAGACAACAACCAAAAACAGTATGAAAGTGCCATTTACGTGATCAGTATAGTCATCTAATCTCTGAAGGAAATGACATGTGCTGTGTATGAGTGCGATGGGTCAAATTCAAGCAAAGAACACAGAAGTCTTCAAGATCCATAATATGGTTTCTATTGTTGAACCACAAGCAGAAGTCATGGGTTGAAAGAGTTTATGTTCTTCAGAGCAACTCATAGCTCTGGACTATGCTGTTTGATTTCAAGTAACTGACTGAAGTGCCCAAGTTAACATTAGACAAGTTAACTAAACCGATATTGCACACAAGTAAACTTGTAGCTTGAAAATGGTTTCCTGCCAGTGTCCACACAATTTTCCCAATTTTTATTGAGTAAATAGCTACTCTAGATCAAAGTTAAACATCTAGAATAACTTTCCATTTGTCAAAATAAAACTGGGTTTAAAGACCTATGATAATAATGTACAACTGTAATACTGCACTAACTAATATTACTCTCTTTAGAGTACAGGTGCATGATAAAAGTACAACATACAAAACAAAATTTTGTTGTACGATACCAAGTTTCTTCTAGTCATACATAAAAACATTATAGCAAATATTTCAAAGTATGTGCTATTTTCATACATACAAAAGAAAATATTTAGATTTTGATAGATATATTTTAGTTAGTATTTGAAACCAAACCAACCTGTCCTCAAAAATAACAAAGTTGTGCTTTTTAGCAACATCTTTTAGTTTTTCTGGAAATTCACTGTTGAAATCTTCAAGAATATCAGCATGAATCTTAAGGACACAAATGTGGGGTCCAACAGTTTCAGCGATCTGAAAAAAATCCAGTAGGTTAGAAAATTAACAGACCTACAATAAAAGTTAGTAAATATGATATGATAGCTATTCCACCACTGTTTCATGACCAGCTTTTTTATATATTAACATTAAAGAACCACTTCAAAGCTTGTAACTTACTTGTTTTACTTTCATAGCTAGACAGTTAAACATACCTTTCTAGTGTAATCATCCATAATCGATAATCTTTGAGCAAATTTTTAACTTCTTTTTTCTTCTGCTATATATTCATTTAATTAAAACTATCGCTTTCAACATTTTTTTTTAAACACCCACTGCCTTAAAATGGATCTCAGACCTTGATATATAACTCTAATTTGCTATTCTAACACTCCCTCCAAAGAAAGATAATATCATAAATATTAAAAGTCCTAGGTTCAACTAGTATAATCTAGCTAGTTATTTTCCCACCTGTGGTTCACATAATGTGAAAATAGTTTTTGTGAGCATTTCAAACTCGATGTCAAAGCTACAAACACACAAATATAAGAAATACTGTTAAAACATAAAATCTTCTGTAAAATGGCAAATTATGGTCAATGTTTTTATCAACCTACTTCCAATAATTTTGCACAAAAAGTAACATCAGCAGCTACACACAGATTGGTTTTCTTTTCTTCCATGATGCCAAATATCCGCTTTGTTAGAGGATGCTGGCAAAGGGATGCCCGCTCTTTGAAACTCAAGATCTACAAAAATGTTATCCAAACTCTAGAGTAATTATAAAAATGTTAAGAAATAAAAAACACTTTAATTCTTAGAAATCTTAAGTATCAAAATAAAAACCGCAAAAAATTAAATCCTTTATTCCAAAGAAATTACTATTTCAAAACACTTTTCAATGTTTTATACAAACAAACTACAAATATCGTAATTTTGTTCCTAATAAGAAATACTAAACTTTCATATAAATAAATAATGTTTTTAAACCTAATAGAGCAGGATGTAAATCAAACAATCAGTATTCAATCTTAACTGTTGTTCTTGCATGTTAAATGTAGTTCAAAAAATAGCTATTACCCACTTAAGAAAAAAAAAGCAAAAACTACAATATTAATTTAAGAATTACAATGATACTGTTAAAACTGCATCCAAACAATCAATGCATCAACTGTGCAAGTATATTACATAATTATATTCAGTTGCTAACCAAGCTATCTGATGATGAATCGTAACAGTTAAAACCATACCTTCCTTTCTTTGCAAGATGTAACAGCTTTGTGTGTTGGTATTTTTGTTTCATTGTTGATTTCCAAAAACTTTGTAACCTTGTATACAGTCTCAGCATCAATTTTGCCCAACTGATGAAGGGCTTTCATACATTCAGTTAGGTGGCACACACTTAAAAAAGAATGCAATTAATAAATGATGTGTTTGCAAGAATGAACCAAAACATACACACCCTCATGTTGTGTTTACAAAAAATGAACCGAAACATACACACCCTCATGTTGTGTTTACAAAAAATGAACCGAAACATACACACCCTCATGTTGTGTTTACAAAAAATGAACCGAAACATACACACCCTTATGCTTTGTTTACAAAAATGCACCAAAACATACACACCTTTATGCTTTGTTTACAAAAATGCACCAAAACATACACACCTTTATGCTTTGTTTACAAAAATGCACCAAAACATACATGTCATTATACTGCATAAATATTCATCATTAAATAACTGTTTTCCAAGTGACTTATATTTGAAATAGTTGATTGTTTTTTTTTTACTAAAATTTCATAACTATATTGTTTGAAAATATAATTAAGTGTGCAGCCTCTTGAAATTGAAAAAATTTTCATATTTTAAATCTATAGTCTACTTGTATTTTACCAAATTAAATTTGTTTTACATATTTGTGTATACAAATATAAAATTTTTTGAATTAAAAAAAAACAGCTAAAGTTTTATGTTAAAACAAATAGGTTTCTTAAGTGAATTAAAAATATTACAGATGTTCTATTGGGGGGTACAAATTAATGCCACTAAACAAAGCTGCAGCAAAACTTACAACTGGCAGATACTTCAAAATAGTCTTTACCTATGCAGTGTTATTCCAAGATCTTTCAAGTTTTTTGTTGCCCCTTGTTCTCTGTTCATGAGCACGACTGCATCAGTGATGGTCAAACCTTCAGCTGTCAATAACTACACATATGAAACAAATGGAATTAAGACATGCATGAAGGTCAATTACCCAAAATAAATGCAAACAAGTTATATCATACTAATTCATCTTACAGATGGCAGAATCAAATATATATTATAACAATAAACAAAAGTACACCTTTAATTATTGTGAATGTATAATGAAATTAAATATTGATTAACCATTATCAAATTCTTACAAAGATTTGTTTCATAAACTTTGAAGAAATAAAGTTATTAAAAAATGATTTAAGTAAAAGAAAACTACTTAATAATTTAAATAATGCAGCAGATACTTGCTCGTAACAAACCTCAACTGTTTCCCAAATACTAGCTCCACTAGTAACCACATCTTCAACAATAATACAACGCTGGCCTTGTTTGTAGTCTCCTTCAATTAACTTTTTGGTACCGTAGCCTTTGGCTTCTTTACGACGAATGACCATAGGCACATTGAAGCGAACAGACACACACTACGCAGAAATAATAACACAACTAATTTACAAAAACCTTCACCCATGGAAACCAAAGACAACAGATGAAAAAAAAACAAAAAACTACAAGTCACCAGCTTAATATAAAAAAAAAGTATTGCATTCCAATGAGTGCCAGAAGAATTTCATTCTTATTCATAGCTATTTATCTCACATGTTAGCTAAACTAAAGTTACACCATTGGAACCTTTAATATACCATATACAAGCAGGACATTGGTGACCATGGTTTTCCACATATCTTTTCTCTTTGAGGCACAAAGAATTTCCCATGTCTATACATTCATCCATTTAGACAGACTCGTGTATATACATACATAAGTCAACCTCCGTCTTTCACAGTCTCTCCTTCCTTCAATCCTTATATTGTACTGGTATATTAAATTACCTACATTATTTAAATGGATTAATTTTTAGTTTTGATCTATGCAGACAGTCTGCTTTGATCAAAAGTTATTCCTAATAAGGACTACATGACTTTTCCCAGAGGATATCTCTCAATTTGAAAGAGTTCAAGGTTACATCATAAAGGTTTCATGGATTAAAGAATTTTCAAATAAGTCAATAACATGATCAAACACAGTAATTATTCTATTCAGAAGTTTAAGCTAAAGGAATAGTAGTAAACATTTATAGAACTATTTCACATTATTCTTGTTGGAAGATTGTATTGTCCCTAGTGTTTATAATATTGGGTTTACTTTCTTTTTTTGCTACTGCCAAATGGCTATACTTGCCGAAAGAGTAAAGTAATTCACTTTCAGTGAACATATTTACTATTTTATTGAATTCTGCAAGTTTCTTATACACAATAAAACTGGATAAAATGTTTAATTTCTATGAGACTTACCCAAACTGAAAGGCTTACTCTCAACACAATTTCTCAATTCTTCATACATATACACACAGCATCCAGGTTTAAATTTTAATACATTCATTAATTTTTTAAATAAAATAATTACATATTTTCATGAAAATTTCTTTGTTTGTAGTTAAGACTTTTTTCTCAAATTAAAAGAAAGTACTAAGTTAATGTCTATATCTTACAAAGACATGAAACAGTGAACACTAAGCACAATCACAACTGAAAAAGTATAACAATAAATGAAGAGATAAAGGAAGGGAAATGGCATTAATCAGGATATTAATTGTATGAAATAAGAATAGTATTCAAACACTTTGATGAAAGTTTTCCTGGCTAGCTGAAAGTTTGAAAACCTAGGGAACTATTCAGTCAGGATGAAATAATTCAAAACAAGAATGGTTATAACAAAGATAAAGCAGCAGTAACTTTCAGACAATAAAGTCCTCACTTACAAACAAAGACCAGGAAATAACAGGCATCAAAACCTTTATTTGTTTCTGAAGTGATCACATTTCACTAGTCTTGTGACGAAGGTTCTTAAACATATACATATTCAGTTCAAACAGTTTGTTAGCACTTTTATTTTATCATATTCACTACAGCTTTTTAAACATCCAAAGCTTTCATATGCAACATTATTGGTATTGTCATTTTTGATCATTATAATTAACTCATCATTACAAAACATTACTGATAAATTATCTAAAAGCTTTGAATTCAGATGACTCAACAGTCCAGATACTTTACGAAAAGGATATGAAATAATAATAAATGAAAGCAAAACCTGAAATTTACAGTTGCCAATGGAAGAGCTGCATAAGGGACACCACAGACAATGTCATATTCAATTCCTCCTCTTTTGAGTGTGTTCCAAACTTCTGTTGCAAAGGCTTCCTATTTTATAGAAACATCATAAACACATTCACCTGCATGCTACATCAAACATATTTATAAAGATGAAATTAAAAATGAACATTATTAGCATTACACAAGCAAAGGAATTAACAAAATATAATCAGTCAGCAATATTCATAATTAAATGCTTACTTATATATATATATATATAAATTATAGATACATACAGAATACAATTTTTCAAGCCTTGTATTTATTACTGAACATTGCAAAACACTTCAAAGGGAAACCTGGAAAACTATTTACTATGGTAGTGATAAAGAAATCTGTTATTTCTATACAACTATCAGGTATATAAACTGTAAGTAATCACATGTTACAGAGCTTACAAATAACAAAAACCTTCATTTTCATATTTCTGAAAATATTTGAAAGTTTTATCAGCACTAGAAACAATTTGTAAAGCTATTTAAGTTTTCTTACTGATTAAAAAAATCAAAATGGCCTCTCTTAAACTCAGATACAATTCTTAAATACTTTAGAAAGAGCTTTAAAATAAGTTTTTAATAATTTGAAGGCAGAATGCATTATCATATAATTAAAAAAAATCTTGTGACTTCTGTACTTAGTAAACCTATCAATATGTGAATATCAATGTTTTATCTTCAACACAAGACTCGTCAACAGATAATAAACACAGCTATGCCCAAGTTCAACAATCTAAAATAAAACTTGCAATGCCATGGCTTTTCTTCCCAGAACTGTGATTACATTCAAAACAACTTGAAATCTCAAACAAACAAGATAATAAAAGTTAAATGTTCTCTTCAACAAACACTTAAAAAATACTTCTTCCAAAGATAAAACACAGCAGGTCAAAAATTGTTTACCTACTAGAACTGTTATAGCTAAACATGGAAACAACTTACTGTATTTATTAATAAGTTATTGTAAATAAAACTCATTCTGTAATAAGCTAATCAGTATCATTTTACATAACTATAGTTTCATTCTTATCCTTAGAAAAATTCTGAAATGGTCCTTACATTTTCAGGAATGAAAATAAAAATCATTTTGTAAGTGCAATTCTTACTAGAGTGAGAAATTCTTTAATAATAATATTACTATTATCATAAAACTTATATTTGTGGAAATGTATTCTAGCCTTGAGTCTGAAAAACAGTCAATATATTTTTAATCTTAGATTTTTAAAAAAATAAAAGTATCATTTTTTTAAAAACTTAAGTTGCATACACATACAAGTCACAGCAATCCAGGTTTTTATTACTTGCTAGGCTTTCAAACTAAATATTAAAGAAAATGTTATTCACATACTGCATAAAAACATAAAAAGTGTAAATGAATAAAGTGGGTAATTAAATATTAGTATTCAAGGTAAAAAAGGTTTCCTTCTTTACAACTGTTATGCAAAAGGGGAAGGAAATTTCTGTCAACCTGTTTATACCATAGAGACATTTCATCATTTTAACAGAATATTAATTCCAATATTGAAACCTAATATAATCTTACTTTTACATGTAAGTATAATAATATAATTACTATAATCTGTAGGTTAAGAAATAATAAATTCATAATAAATAAACAAACTTTTTATTAAAAAATATGCTTATGTGCAAAAAGTAAATGGTGAACAAAAAAAGTTAATTATGGCATGGATTCCACTTGAATATGATGCACTTTTACTACAACACCTAATGACCAGTGGCAGATTCAGACACCTTGGGGCCCTAGGAAGTGAATAATATGAGCCCCCTCCCCCATGGATATGCATATATTTATAATTAAATTCTTTTATATATATATATATATATATCTGTGTGTGTGTGTGTGTGTGTGTGTG